CAAAAATATAAAACTGAACACTAAAGTTAGAATAATCAAAGCCATTATATTGTCCATCATCATATACAAATATGAGAGCTGGACAGTGAAGAAAAGTGGATAGAAAGAAAATCAACTTTGGTGCTGGAGAAGAGTGCTGTAGAAACTGTGGATGGCCAAAAAGACAAACAAATGAACTCTCCCCGGAAACTAATATGATGGCCAATTCATGAAAAGGCATGACTCAGAAGAAAAGACAGTAATTCTGGGGAAAGCAGAAAGAGAGGAAGACCACATACCAGATGATTAGACATAATAAACGAAGCCACAGATCTGAGCCTACAGGACCTGAACAGAACAGTTGGAGAGAGGAAGGCTTGGAGGTGTCTCAATCATAGGTTGCCATAATTCAAACTCAACTTGAAGGCAGTTAGGAACAACAAATTGTTTCAAGTCTGGAGTCTATACGCCATTACTTGGGAATCAGACTTACTTAATTTAGCATGGCTGAATAGCAGACAGTTCTCTGAGGCTGTGAAGCCCTATATACCCTTAGTTGTGTAAGAGCTCTAGTAAACGTAAAGGAATTTACTTCTGAATAAATCCACATAGGATTGCATTCGTTATCACAGACTGGAAAATGAATTAGCATATAGTGAAAAGCATCTCTGTTCCAAGCAACTCTTTGTGTGTATTATAAAAGAGCAATTTTGGAACACAATATACTATTTTGGGGTAAAAAGTCAGACATATTAATTGCATGGTCAAAATCCCCCATTAGCTTCTTTCACATTTTGAATGATCATCCTCCCCCACACAATAATTAATTTCCCCTTTAAAACCTGAATATGCGTATATTTGTCTTCAATTTTCTTTTGCAATATATGCATTTTAAATATTTTTGAGAACTGCACCACAAAATTAAGACAAGTATACAACACAAAGAATAACTACATGATATCTTCCACACATTAATTCAGGATGTGCACATTAAGTCAGTCTAATTTGGTCAGAAACAGTTCTTCCCCAGTTTTAGGGACTCTGTTTAATCCATTACACCACAAGAGTAGACCATGTGAGTATATATGGATTCAATACTAATGTACACCATTGGATCTGGCAGATCTAGGTTTGGGGATAGAGTACAGTTCAGGTCAGTGGAATATGATGAATATAATGTCAGTGGGACAGTGAATCCACTATATGTTTTAGTAAGAAATTTAAAAGAGGTTTTCAGTGTTGAATTTAAAAGGAGCACCTTTGATAGCAACTTTAAAGTTCAGACTATAAATCTGGAGGTAGGTTCACTGTTTCACTTCCACTGGAACCACCAATCATCATGGGTTGAGGTAATCCATATAAAAGAATAAATGCATATTACTTTGCATCTTTATTGAGTGACACTTAATGGAGACCGAGGCTACTATGCACTGAAAATTTCTCTTACACACACAATATTAAAATACACATGAGGTATATAAAAACATTGCTCCATGCCATCCAACTTTCACAGATAAAACTGGGACATGTGTGGCCAAGGAACATCATAGAATCATAGAACCATAG